GCATAATGTTATAGCCAACACCTATCTCTTGGTCGTTATAGAAGAACCTTGGAGGTCGTGGTTACAACATAAGTCATGTAGAAGATCCATAAAAATGAGTGCAGTCATTCGAAAAATGCTGCTGAACAACCTTATCAGATGTCCAACAAGCATCTCACCCACCCATTTGTCATCAACATATAAAGACGTCATGCGTGGTATCCGTCTAGTGCTTGAGCGGTAATATTCCAACAATAATATCGCTATTGCTGCAGCCCATGTCATTCTTTTACGACATTCTCGATGTGGATTCATCCTGAAATTATAAATGCATTAGGATGAAATAATTTATGGAAAAGTGGTGACAACAAAATGAAACAATAGTTTGAAATACATATAATGAAGAAAGCATAAGGAAAATGACATAAATTGTTCCGGAGTACAAAGCACAGGAAATGAAGTACATAAAATGAAATACATCTAGTGACAAATTAATACAAAACAGACTCATTCTTCTACTAAAACATGTAAATATTCAATGTGCAACTCGTGCCGTATGACCATAAATATTTGCCTACGAGTAGGGTCTTAAGTTTTTTAACACATTTTGCTGAAAGCACATATCAACAGCTACTTTTGGAATAATATTTAAAATGGCAACACAGTCTTAGATGGTGTTGTATGGGGGAGGCGGAGCTGTAAAAGCAGCAATTAGTTGATGAAATGAGCTTTTCACGAAACTATCTTTCTCTTTCTTCCTCCTGCCAAAGCTAGGCCTTTTGGACATGGAACCGGACTCTCCCATCTCATTTTGGTTAACACTAGGTTCTTCTTCATCAGCTATGACCTGTTCAGGTGGCAAGTCATCTGGTATTCCTGCAAATCCCAATTCATTTGGGTTGAATGCATTCTTTCCAGTCGCGACAACCCCCTTAAACATATGTCCAGTTTTTCCTCAAACTTTGGATCAATTCTGCACTGCCTATATTTTTTGGCTGTTGGCATGACATGCAACATAAGACATTTATTAGACGGGTTTAGGCATTAACCAGGCATTAACCAAAAATAATGGAATTAACAAAATAAGTTTGTATTTATTTTCTCCAATCTTTCAGCTCATCATTCATCTGGAGCATCGATAGTTCGTTTAATGAGATCCCAACCCAATCTGGTAGATCCACGTTTCAGCTCATTCCATACTTTTCATTCCTTCTTCAATTGGTCCTATTTGTTTTTGAATTTAAGCCTGTTGTAATCTCTTCCAGTCAATTCTTTGAACCTCTTAGCAATATTTTGTCAACCCTCCTTATTAAAATACGTGGTAGGTCTATTCCTCAGTTCAATTTCCTTAATATATAGATCACAAAATATATTTGTAACTTTTTTATTCCAAATTGCGGAGGGACCACCGTCAGTCGCCTTAGACATTGAACTTTAGCGAACAAAGGAAAATAAGTACTTTCTAAATGTGTAAAAAAATAGCCCAACTTCATCCAAATCAATTCCACAACTTATGAAATAATCATTTGCAATTTAAAAAAAAAAGAACATATTATAAATAAATACCGACAACCAACATCATTTCCACAACGTTTCAATTTACAAATAAAAAAAAAAAAACTAGTAAACAAGAGATTTATGTGGTTCGACCAATGACCTACATTCACAGAAGACAATCCACGAAAGTTTTATTAAGCAAATCTATAAGATTACATAGCTATGAACAAGATCTCAAATATAGAAGCTTACTACAACATGCTCTCAACTAATCAAGCTCCATACATATCACTAAAATTCTGCCAGTCTTTAAAAGAAAAAAAAAAGTAGAAACCAAAAACTGAATTTTGTAGGCTTTTCTCTGTGTGCAATTTCAAGAGTGTCGAATGCAACCCAGCAAGCAACATGGCTGGCAAATGATTGAAGATAAAGGAACATGCGTACCCCCAACATCTCTTCCAGATAAATGAACTTGTGCATATTTCTCGAATCAAAAAAAAAAAAATCCCAAATTTCATAAACTTCATTTTTGGTAATAAAGAAACAGATTAAAACACTTCACAGGAACCATCAACATCAAAGGAAGCAAGAAAACCTCATAGGAATGTATCAAACAATATTACCAAGCTTTCCCCACTATATATTGCAAAGCACAATGACAATATAAGAGCAGAAATATCGTGGAAGCCTAAACATGTGTTTTTTTGTAGCCAACAATTCGATCAAAAGAAACATTCCTGCATTCCAATATTTCCCCATCATTCTAAACATTGAAAAGTGAGAGCAAACTATAAGTTTTAACTAATAAAAGAAACACCAAAACAACCCAATTCATATGCCTCATAATATGAGTAATTTAGCCATACATTCCCACATGATGCAACTTATAAGGCTCAATATACCACAGTGTTGCAATTTCCTCATCAACATATTTACATATCTGCTTTGATATTTTTAGTAGCCGAACCATCTAGTGAATGAAGTATGAGTGGTGTGCATGTCATTATGAATGTTTAGGCGTAAGATTTGTAAATACATGAGACATATGTGATATGTATGTAAATGTCCCCTAAAACAAAACAAATAAACCATCCCAGTAGAGGAACTTCACAGGAAAGACTTTTGCAGTCTATAGGAAAGAAAGATGGCCTTAACGGGAAACAAAAGTTTCAAACATAACCACAGATGGCAACAAATCTACGCCTCAATAGAAGGTGCCAAAAAATTCACTAACATTTGAGTGGTATGCGTGTGAATATGAATGTTTAGGTGTTAGATTCGTAACTACATAAGAACTCGAAACAGTTTCTCCAAAGAGTAAGACCTAAAGTGATTTCCTTTTTCTCCAAAAATTTCTCAGAGAACACGACTGAGCATATATCATTTCTGTAAAACATGTAATTCAGGGGAAGCTTAGAATTCATCATATGAATTGTATGACACCCAACAGAAAGCATATAAGCATTGCAGTACTAGCGAATAATCCATAAAAAATCCACCATCTATAAGATTCATGATTCAAAATTTTCAAACGGGAAATATAAGCATTGCAGAAATATTCATGATTCGACCAATCTTATAAATATCACAAAAGCCACCATCTAGCTCATGAATCTAATGGTTTCCACCAACTAGCCATTCAGATGGAGCAAAAAATCCATCAAAAATCAATTTCATTATTGGAGATAGGAAAAAAAAATTTTTGAATCATAGAACTCAGAAAATGCGAAGAGGACAAGACTCGATACCTCTCGATCCAGGAACAAAACTCTCGTAAAACTTTCAAGAAAATGCGAGAAGAATCGGTACCTCTCGATCCACCACCTAACGAACGAGAAGTGGGAGAGGGGAAGGGTGCACGATATCGAGAGCCGAGCACAGAAGCTTGCTCGCAGAGCTAGGGCAACGACAGAGGAGACGGGATCGAGGGGATGAGGGGTAATAAGCTCACCCTATACGCGGAACTCAGAGCTCTCCCAACGGCGAACAATCGAGGATATTACTATACAAAAATTTACGCGCGTTATCCAACTATCGGATCCAACGCGTTAAACAAACGCCACCACGGCGTTCTGAAACCCCGGACACAGCAATAAGCTGCGCCAAACGGGCCCTTAGTCCCGCTTTTGTAGTGACGTCTGTGGAGTATATATCATATAAAATTTCATATAAACTAATTTCAAAAAAAAGTTTCTGAATGTTATAATTGACTGCAAATTATTCTATAAGAAACTTGGTATGTTTTTTTTTTAATTTTTTCATAATGATATAAATCCATTGTTCCATTTAAATGTTTGTTTAATTTCATATCACAGCTCTCCAACATAGAGTTATTTCCCAACACATTTTTATGTTATTTACATGTGTTATAGTACTCCATTGTGCTTTCGGGTGTAAATGGGGAAAAATTATTGCGTGCGTGCGCACACAATAAGCGCTCGTAAATGGGACAAATTTGAGCAAGCCTTGGTTTGTCCGTGTTCCGATGATTGACTCGCATTCAAAATGGCTTACAAATCGTCTGTTTATTTGAATTGTTTGCTCGAATTATTCTCGTATTTGGTTCAAATATTAATTTATTCAAATTTAATAAATTCATTGATATAATTAAATTAATAATTCATTTGTTCATGTTTGTCTCACTAATAAATTGTTCACGTTTGGCTCATCAGCCTAACGAACCATTCAGATGTGAACAATTCAGTGAGTCAAAAGCGAACTGTCGGCGAACTATGAGCCTTTTTTACAGCCCTATTTATATTTGTGTAGATCACTTGTAATGATGTAATGCTTGATATTTTGATGAGTTATATCTCTAGTTATGTATCTTTATCATATGATATAGCTTTTTATGGGAACCTGTTATATGAATTAAAGATTGTGACAACATTCCACCATGTTGCAGTCTCATGCCTTTGGGAATCTTTTGTATAACTAATTATATCAAACATTGTTATAGCTGAACTCACTCTATTATATTATTTAAGAATATTGCTCAAATATTATTTGAGCCATGATTAAATTATACAAATATAATACTTCAATTTATGTCATCACAACAAAAATAGCACTGGTGGAAAGTCCGTTCATGGGTCTGTCAAATTGAAGGCTGTCAAAAAAGTTCATCGTTGGCAAATAGCTCGTGTTTGGCTTAGCATAGAGCTTGTGTTTGAATCGTTTGTTAGACAAATGAGTCGAACATGAATAGTTTTTTTTAGTTCGGTTTATAAACAAGCCGTACATAAACAGATATGTGCTTGATCGTGTTCGACTCGTTATTGTTTGAATTAGAAAAGTTAATTTTAAATAACTATATATATAAATAAAAATAATTATAAATTTAATAAATTAAGAGAAATATAAATTAAATAATTAAAATCATATTATTTTATGAAAGTTAATTTTAGCCATATGATCATAAATGGGTGGCTTAGATTAAATAATTAATTTTAATTAAATAATAAATATTTTAAATAAAATACCATAATTTCAATTCTTATAAATATACTGTTTCTCTTTACTAGGCCCTAACATGCGGACTGCAGCTGCGACCATTTAGTTTTTGTTTCAAGTTGGGAGAAGCTTTGAGTGAAAGCCTCTAGAGTGGTTTTCACTTCATCATCGTGCGAGTTTCACCTCTTTCGCATCTAAAGGAGTTCTCATCTCTCATTCTCTCTCGCTTATAACTTGTGAGTTATGAGTTGTGACGTACCTTTGTAAGCTTCATTATGAAATTTGAATATCTCTTTTCCCATTTAGTCATTCATGTGATAACTATTTTGCTAGCCCCTCTCTTGTAAATCATTTTTAGTATTTGCAAATGAGATCATCCCCATTCAGGGCTATGATGCAAATATGATTGATTTATATTTTGAATGGATTTGGTACTTCCGTGTACCAACATAGGAAGCCATAATATTTGAGTTCATAGTGATGCTGTGTTTTCCGAGTATTTGTATGAGTTTGGTTCTTTAGTTTGTCTTTTTTCATAAAAAGCCTTTACTTCGTTGAAGGTTCTCTTTATCTTCCCTATGATGCCCTTGTTTCAGGAATCTCTATTTATCCCAAGCTATGATGATGAAACAACTTGGACTTATCACAAGGTGCTCATTTTTATGCCCTTCAAGGGAGCATTTGACTTAATACCAATTTTTAAACATTGTTTTCTTTTTGTAACCCTTTTAAAATACCTTTGATTAAAGTTTTGGGAGTGCAAATATGTGTGCATGTGTGTGTAGAACATTTGGAAAATTTATAATTGACATGATTTTGAACCATGTTGTCTTGTCTAGCGTTGTTGTAGTTTTAATGGAGACTATTTTCATTTTTAATGACATGGGTGAGGAGAGTTTGCAATTATTGCATTTTAACACAACCAATCTCTTCCTAAGTATGACCATTGTCAAATTCATTTTAAAACAACAAAAGAATGAATTTATATATATTCTTAAAATAAAATAGTGATTTTTATTACAATAATAGATGAACAATAAGAGCAAACTAGAAAATGTAATGCATTAATCTATTGTCATGGCATCCAAATAGGGCTATAAACGAGCCGAATTTGAGTGAGCTCAGGCTTGACTCGTGTTCGGCTTGTTCAAAATTGCCGATGATTGGTCGTGCGGACATGCATATGTGCTTACAAAAAAATATTACATCAGTACTACGCACGTAGAAGTAATGTGCGTAGCCAATGAAATCACGCCACGACATCTCGTGCGATAGGAAAAAAAAACGACAGTAACATGGGGAATATTCCCCCTGTGTTATTGTGTGTTATTCATGTGTTATTGATGTGTTATTGTGTTATTATAACATCAAAAATATTCTCAGGACACAATAACACATGAATAACACACAATAACACAGGGGGAATATTCCCCATGTTACTGTCGTTTTTTTTTCCTATCGCACGAGATGTCGTGGCGTGATTTCATTGGCTACGCACATTACTTCTACGTGCGTAGTACTGATGTAATATTTTTTTGTAAGCACATATGCATGTCCGCACGACCAATCATCGGCAATTTTGAACAAGCCGAACACGAGTCAAGCCCTTGTTACTGCGTCATTTTTTTTCTGTCGAGAATATTCCCCGTGTTATTCAGATGTTATTGTGTTATGAGAATATTTTTGATGTTATAATAATACAATAACACATCAATAATACATGAATAACATATAATAACACATAAATAACACACAATAACACATGAATAACACATGAGAGAATATTTTTGTACCATTTTTTTTTTACTATCGTTTGTTACTGATCTAATATTTTTTCGTAAGCACACACGACCGATCACCGGCGATCACGGGTGAGAAGAAAGAAGCACGGCCGTCGTCAGCCACTCCCTTCCCACACCAGTACTGACCCACCAGCAAGCCGAGCAAGTACTCTTCCTCTCTCTTTTCTCTCTCAGACTTCTACATTCCAAAGCCGATCTGTGAAATTAGGGCAGGAATGGTTAACTATTCTGCGATTGCGGCTTCGGTGGCCATCGGACTGGTAAGCTGGTTCTATGCAGCGATAAAGCCGCCGAAGCCCAGCCTATGCGGATCGGAGGGAGGGCCGCCGGTAACGGCAACGAGGATCAGATTAAGGGATGGACGTCACTTGGCCTACAAGGAGTGGGGAGTGCCCAAGAACAAGGCCCGTTTCAAGATCATCTTCTGCCATGGCTTCTCAGGCTCCCGTCTTGACGGGATCCGAGCCTCCCCTGTAAGCATACTGATCCCAATTCCCACTATTTTTTGCATTGAGGCGTCATCTTCCTCCGTTGTTTCTAGTGTGTTTGAACTGGTTGCTGAGTTTCCTGAAAGCACATAGAGAAGATTTTGTTATGTAATCGAACGGTTATAACCTCTGAATTTAACAATTAGATTCATACGCATGAACCTCAAAAACTTCTTAAGGAGCTATTTGGTTGCGAGATCTAACTAACTTTTTGTTAGAGTTTAGGCTAAATTTTTTCAAATATTTTTGAGCAACACAGATTTTGCTACCTTGTAATTCTTATTTACTCGCAGCTTAGACTAAATCTGGTATTTTGTATTTTGTTAAAGTTTAGGTTATGTATGTAAACATATAAGAAATGTGTGGTATGTATGTAATGGTCTTTTTTTTTTTTTTGCTTTTAAATTCTGCTTTTAAATTCCCGGATTAATTCAAGTTTAATATTTGTCATGCCAAAGAGTATCCAGGATTTAACGTCACCAGAATGATTTAAAAATTTATTAAATTCTACATAGATTAAATTTTCTTTTTAGCCAAACAACCCCTAAAAGAAGCATTTCAAATTTGAATCTACACTATAACCGAATTTATGCTAATTTTTTGTCAAATATTTTTGAGCAGCACAAATTTCACTACCTTATTGAATTCTTTTTTACTCTAAGTTTGGACTAAATCCATTATTTTGTATTTTATCAAAGTTTAAGTGTTATCTATGTGTGTACCAAAAATGTGTTAGCACGAATCTTAGGAAATCAGATGATTCGATGGAGGAACCCGAATGATGTGCAACAAAATCTACCGACCGATCATTTCCCTCCCAGACCAAGTCTAAGAAGTGACCTGGGGACCTTGATCTGATTGGCTGCCATGACCTTCGACTCGCTTCCCCTAGTCTTGCCAGCATAGTTGATCAACATGTCTAAAGTACGGACCGACTGATAGACTCCTCTAGCTCGAAAGGACCCTCCGATGGAAATAATGAACTCCTGTGTATAAATACTAAAATAACTCTCATTATCCTAATAAACTGAGGGCATAAATGTAATCTCACAATTGTACTCCCCATGTCTATAAATAGGGGATCATTTCTCTGAATAAAAGACTGTTCGTAAATGTGCTCTCTCTCTCTCTTTCTCTTTCTTATAACGGTCTATTTCTTGGCTGTGTCTCCTAGACAATTTTGGATTCAACATTCTGAAAGGTGGGGTGAGTGTGGAGTTATGCCGTCAACAAGAAGAGGAGCACAACAACAAAAATAAAACCACCAGAGAAACATAATAAACATGGAATGCACTAGATAGTTTGTGGAGGGATTCGTGCAACAAGAGATGCAAGGGTTGATAAACCAGATAATAGGACATTACGAAGGTTCTTTCAGCTGTTACGACCCAAAGATGAGAATGCGTATCTCAAGGGTAGAATTCCCCTCGAGAGGAAGAGTGGGCGCGTAACGATAGGCAATTGAACTATGGCCCAGACAAGGCCGGAGATTCACAATACCAGGAAAGTGTTGAATCCGCACTGATGGAGTGACAACGAGTTGGGTACACTGAGGCCCCACGCTAACCAGAGAATGCATTCTCCTTCCAAAACTTAGGAGCCGAGTCCCTAAGAAGTTTAAACTCCCAACACTAGAATCCTATAAGGGTCGGTTTGATCCTAGTGACCATCTTGCATCGGTTGAATCATCCATGTTTCTTCTGAAAATCTGACACGCTTAAATATCGTATGTTTTTACCACCTTGAGGTCATCGGCTCTGAGTTGGTTCAACTCACTGCCAGTTCGAGAAATCGCTTACTTCACTGACTTTAGGAGAGACTCTTTTTGGCGCAGTTTGCAAGTGCCCAAAGGCTTACGAAGAATGCACAAGCCTTATGGTACATTAAGCAATGGCCGAACGAAAGTTTGCATTCATACATCACACGATTCCAGATGGAGATATTGGAGGTAAAAGTCCTGCGAATCGAAATGGCACACGCTGCTTTAACCCAGGCTTGAGGGGAGAGAGATTCTGATATGACCTTAGCTTGGTGGAATCGTAGAGCTTGACTGAACTGTTGGGGATGGCTAGCAAAAATATTACCGCTGAAGAGAATGTCACCAGCATTTACAACAAACCCGAACCGTCAGACCACTACCCCCAGAAGAAGGCCCTGCATAACAGTTGATGGAAACCCAAGGAGAACTCACGTCCCCCCATCCGTCCCTGGTACAGAGATGGATGACCACCTCATGTAAATAAAGGAACCGGCCAGAATAACAATCAAGGAGGTCAAGCGAGGAGCCATGACCAGCGACCGACTTAATACTATGTTAGCTCTGCTCAACACTATGAACGACTCCAAAACAATCACGAAAATCCTCGGGCCACTCCTTTGAGAATGTCGATGGTTGAGATAGCGGACGTCATCTAGTATAAAAATTATTTCAAAATAGTGCCGCCGATGAGGGTCAGAGCTTTCCTTTGAAATACTAACAAGTACTGCAAATATCACAGGGACTAGCCCATGACAAGTAGAAGTTTAGACACTTCCGGAGCCTGTCGAGGAGTTGATTCGAGCAGGAAAACTCATGGAGTTGGTGGCTCATAGAGCAGCAACTCAGAGGCAAGGAAAGTCCCCAATAGTGGGTCCGTATAAAAACCCCTAAAAGATGCATTTCAAATTTGAATCTACACTAAAACCGACAATTAGCACGAAAATCCTATCATAAAAAAAGTGAGGAACGGGAAGTCAGCCAGTGGTCTTGTAATCTAGGTATAATCATGGTTGCAAATCTTCCATGTTTTATGAAGCCAGGCGATGTTTGGCTGCAGCCTGAATCTACGTTAAGTAGGATTTATCGAATCTAATAAATCCGATCGACAGTGCTGCGGAGATGAACTCGCAAGCGACATTAGGAAAAATTGCTTAAATCTATCTAACAATTGAATTTACTAAATCCAAATTTACGTCCTAAAAGAGATAGAACGCTAGGAGAAAAAAACAAAACGTGAAAAATTTTGATTTAACGGAGCGTTTGATTTAATTTTAATTTTTTTTTTATGTTTGGCTGAATTTATGCTCAATCCATCGTTAAATCCTCTTTAAATGATGCTACCAAACACCTACTAAAAGTCAAGCGCAGATTCTCACTAGGACACTCTTACTCTTTGCTTGAATGTGAAGGGGAGAACGGGTTTAGCATCTAATTGTCTTATTTTACTATTTCTTATTCTCACTTTATCTTTGCTTCCATTTGTTCTCCCAAGCGACTTTACTTGCTCTGTGTTGTCAATTTTTTGTTGCTTCTTGCTTTGGCAATGTTCAACTTGACAAATTTAGAAGCAATTTCCTATGTTTTCCATGCTTCAAAGCAACACCTGTGTGATGCATGGTATAACTGGTTATAGAGAGAGATATAGGTGGCTGGTGTACCTGTAACAAACTGCACTCATATGCCATTGTGTTTGAACCAATTTTCTTTTATTCCTATGGTTACCCCTTGACGCATGCATCACCTTTCCTGTATAAATCACATCCTAGAATCAGCCAATCTTAATTTTGTTAGATTAAAAACTATAAGTAGATTTTATGGAACAAAATTGCCTTCTCATGATTCTTGCCATATGCTAAACACCAAACTGATGAGATCGTAAAAAAAATTAATAAACCACCTAAACCAGTAATGGGTGTGTCCAAGACTGCAAAATTTAAATAATTAAGAAAATTTTGATTAATGCATATCTCGGGCTTAAAACTTGTCATTCCTATGGTCTAGTTGCGCTATTTTTCGGTCACAAAGTTGTTGCAAAATTTGGCTAATTAACGAACTTAGTTGGCCAACCGTTTGAGGTGTCAACTCGGCTTCATGAGTCGGCTTGGGTCTGACGCCCAAGTCGAATCTCTTTGACCCGAACATGACCCATATAACTTGTTTAATATCAGACATAATAGCTATTCGAGTCAAATTTGAGTAAATTTTGAGTCAATCTTAGGTTGGAGGATTGACTTTAGGTTTATTTCAGGTTAGCGGTTTAGTTTCAGGTTGACGGATCAACACGATTTTGTCTCGAAAAAATAGACAGGTTAGGATTCTTAACCCAATCCAATAACTTTTTACGTCAACCCATACATTGATTTTTGGAGTCGAGTTATGGTCTAGCTGGCAAGTCGGCTCAAGATTTGACACCCCTTCTAATTAAGAACACTAAGAATGTGTTAGCACAAATCTCAAAGAGACCTGATGGTCCAGATTAAAGAAAATCAAATAAAGTTCCTCTTGGCAAAAGATCCGCAGGCCTCATAAATCCGACCGTCCAACACTGGCCGAATGCCAGCAATATCTCGCATAGCTGAGCGAGCAACAAACAAGCCGATTGCTAGTAAGGCTCAAAATCAATGAACATAGCTGTCCAAAGCCATCCCAACAAAGATCTCCTTGCTGTCCGAAGGAGCCGACCGGACAAAGGTTCCAACTCTCCCAATAAACCTCCCTCAAAACTTCCTCAAAGGTCTCCAAGGAGCAATAGTTAGAACAACCGACCGACCATCCAAAGGTCAGTGGGTTACCTCACTCAAAGGATCGACTGATGTCCTGTTCAACAACCGACCAAAATCAATTCAGCCGACTGACTGTTCGGGGCGAGAACCGGCCGGAGTCAGCTCAGCCGATTGACCCAGGGGCCTGCCGAGCAGCAAGTCCAGACATATGAAAGACTGTAATGCCCTGTACATGCCTCTTTAAAGTAGGGGTAATCATGTAATTTTTCCTTTTGCCTTCCTATCATTTATAAGGATGACCCTTTCATGTATTAGGGACCGTTGGCCGTTGGCTCTTCTGTTATTATGATATTTGGTTCCCTCTCTTGTAACCCCTACATTCAATGATATAAAATGGGTCATAGGGCGCCCCCTTCGGGGCTAGTTTGCTTGTGTTCCTTCCTCTTTCTCTCAGTCCCTCAGTCTATATGCTTTATTTCCTTGGGCATGATCTACATGAGAAA